CAGCTTTCTCGTGGGGCTTTGGGGTGTGGATTCCTTGCTACTGTCATACGCTTCACCATTGTAGATTTCGGAAGACACTGTACCCATTGGGCCACACAGCCAGGTCTCATCGGTTGTAAGATGCCAGTCGCCGACCTCAAGTTGTGCCATCACACCAATGTCTTTGCCGTAGATGAAGCGTCTTCCACCTTTAAACCCAAGGCGTCCACTATACCAACCCTCCGCTGCCTCAATGCAGATTTCGTTGGCTCCTGCAATGAGTGATGAGACCTTCCAGATACGGTAGTTCAGACGAGCATGGTAGCTTTGCCATCCAGGAGCCATTTCCTCGTCGCTGACCCGTTCACCGTTAATGAAAACGTGAAAAACACCCATGGCGGTGACATATAGGCGCGCCCCATTCTCCGGTACTTCTGACAACATGAATTCCTTCCGAAAGCGCAATGGTTGTAACGGACCGTTGGGACCAATCCGTGCTGCAGCAGTGATGAAGCTCGCTTCGAAGTCTTTTCGATCAAGCAGGGCAGCTTCAACTGTAGCTTCACACGACCAGTCGGTCCAATCTTTATGAGATCTGGTCGTGTTTTCGCCAAAGGCTCGTACTTTGACGACTGCAGACTCGCGAGATTTCAACTCCCTGGCCGGCCATGGCACCAGCACAGAGGCTTCGGAATTCACTTTGTACACTCCCGATTCGCCATTGGAAAACTCGACTTCAATTTCGTAGGCCGTCTGGATCCAACCATGGACAGTCTTGCGGTTAGTTTCAAACTTCCATGAAATCCTCGGATCCGGTCGTCCCACACCCAGCCCATTGTGGTGATGCTCGAATGTCGGCTTTGTTACTGATGGAGAAGACATGACAGCCATACAAAAGCCGTGATCAGACCATCAATCACGGGAAATAGGTCTGTTAGCTTTGTATGGTAAGATTTCTGCATTGTTTCTTTATAATGTCAAACCATGCTGAACACTCAGCAAGAGTGTAGAGGTATAGCATAGCGAATCCACTCCCGGCCGATTTTGGTCGTTGGTAGCATGCATGTCCACCCGGCATCCGGGTCTTGGGAAACACAGGCGTACGAAAAGTGGGGTGCAACCGGTCGCCGGTCGCCCCTCGGCATCACAATTTCACGAACAGGCTTAGCCCAAACGAGTATATGATTTTGTTCTTCACTAGCCGCATTGACAGTTTATTGGGTATTGTTACTTATTGAAAGTGTTGAAAAGTGTCTAGCAGACTGATATGCTGAGCATTGCAGGCACTTCACGCTGGTTGATTAACAGCACATATTCTGTTGTATACCGAAAATATGCTCCAATTTTGTGAGGTTAAGTATCTGCCTTGTCAAAAATGCTGGTAGTGACCCTATCTAGAAGTGTGGTTAAGTTAAATAAGTACGATGACATGGTGAGGTCAAATCAGGATTAGCTTGGTCATTGGTGACTGAAATAGGACGTTCGTACCATCTTCTCCCGTAGATTATCTAGAAGGGCACCTAAAGCGTCCGGGATATTGCGCGAAGTGTAGGGTCGTGTCGATGTGAATATATGGCCATGATTCTCACTAACGCCGACACCAGTTTAGTGCTATTCCGAAGTGTCGTCTTGAGTTCGTCTCCTCGGGCTTCCTTCATGGATATCCCCCTGCACCACACCTCAAATCGCGGGGTCCGGACTATTGGGAGACGAATCCTTATCATGCAATGTTTACCAACCCCTTGGATCGATAATGAAACAGGGCAGCAGTG